ACTGACTGCTAGGCACTCATGTTAGTCAGCTTGAGCTCCCTTTCAACGAATTGTGTTCCAATTGCAATGACATTTATAAAGAGTAAACGGTTTTCCACATTCTCTGCGAATGTCAACCCCGGGGCATGTTTCCTTGATGAAAGACACTCATATTGGTGTATTGCAATCCCGGGATAAAGAGGTGCTACCAGTACCTCTAGTCTGCCGGGACTATAAACTGTTGATGTCATTTCACTCCTATTCGGCTAGTCCTTGGAATGATTTGACATGGGGTCGAATCATGAATGAAGGGTGGCCATTTGCCCACAGGACTTGTCCTGGCTGGTCATTTGGTTGAGGTACCTTCGGGATCCACGTAGTGTCTGTGGTTTAAACCCAAATTCGCAGGAATAGTAAGTTGCGGTTAAAAGACTGATGCACGGTGAAATCTATATTTCGGGATAAGTTCGGTGCTGTTGCCGAATGACTATGGGACTAAGCGTTGGAAATGAGTTGATGTTAAAGTATATGATACAGGATGAATGTAGGGGTATACGGAACTCATCCGTATACCTAGAGTGAGTCTGTCGTATGTTGTTTTCTTATATGAGTGTCGGATAAATGAGAAGTGTGCAGGGTTGAATGATGATGGATGAAAGGTATCTTATACAAGTGATACCATTGAATTTTCCTTCCTTGTCCAGGTATGTTCAGAGTAAACTCTGTTCATACCAGATTTACCACAGGGTGCACTGTGAGTAAGAACAAAGTCTCGGCTTATTTGATCCATGGATTCGAACTTCGGTCTACCGGTAAGGTCTCTAGGTGTTGTTGCGACTCAACAGAGGCCATCCCATCTGCGTGGTTGTTAACGGAATTAGAGATTACATAGCTCAAGTACTTGAGCAAAGTGAACGTATACTGGACCGGAAAGTCCATATACGTAAATTGCCAACTGCGTGTAAAAAGCACAATGGCGCGGTGGTGAGTCGTCACAAAAGCTCATCCAGTGGTTGAAAAAGACCACCGTGAAATAGGCCAACACGGTAGATGTTCACGTAAAGCACACATTAATTATCTGCGAATGTATTCCCTGGGAATAGCTCACTGCTACAAGCTGGATCTTATACCAAAATAATATACACTACGATACATCTGAGAAGTGATCCTTACGACTCTTCTTAAGAGTTTGCGTGTAGTAAACACGTTAACCAATCAACGTCCAAGAATCTGAGTTTCTTAGCATTGGATAATAATTCCTTTTATTTATCTCTATATAACGTTTTTCCACCTATACTTTCCAAGAAAACGAACGCTGAGCAGCGGCCTTAGTATATGTACATACATATATCTGATGTAATATACATCATAATTTCAACCTAACCTATGAATTCTGATTAGATTGCGAATGCCATAAAATTTGTCTATGGAGTTCTAGTTTGAAATTATCACCTCTAAAACTGATTCTTTCAAAGCTGTTTAGAGTCATCACTTATTTTGTGGAACGCTTCTGAAATCAGTTTTTTAATCAATAACTTTTGTTTGCGTACATCTTCTGCCAAATTTTGTTTGAAATTGTGAAGATTGTGACCACAGTTCTATTAAGAAAACCTCCGAAATCAAGAAAAACTCATTAAGAAAGCAAAAAATGACTTAACATATGAGGTTTGTAGATCTCTTAGTTGAGTAGATCACCCTACAAAATTTAGAATTTTTAATATAGAGCGGAAATCAGGAGTTAACACCCAAAAACGGAGTTTTAATTGCTGTCGAACTTCAAAATTTGTATCTTAAACTTATACTTTTTAAAGGGTAATCTGAATGTAGATTAAAGAAATTTTAGATACAAGTTATAGATATGTATTTGCAACAAAAAAACAGAAAAAATAGTTTGTGAATTTTCTTAAAATTTACAAATATTAAAAATTTATAATAGTAAAAAAAATAAAATAAATAAAAATAATACAATTTGTTTTTTTTTTTATTTTACGATAACTTTTGTTTTCTTTTTTATTATTTCGTTTAAATTTGTTGGATTTTATTATTATATTTAATTTTTAAATATAAGAAGAGTTTTTCAACAATTTAGCACATTATTTATAAATTATTTAATTAGGACTTAAATAACAATTTATTTTATTATTATTATTTTTTTAATATTTTAACTTGATTTATTTTTAATTTTCATTTAAGTAGATTTATTTTGTGGCCGTTGTTGTTGGTTTTTATTCTTTTTTTTATTTTTATCATTTTAATGATAAAATTTTTGTAAGAAAATTCTAGTACAAAGTACTAAGCTCTAAGTAGTTTTAAATATCTACTATTGTTTATTATAAAACTCAATTGTGTTTTAAAGAAAAGTTAAACTTAAAACTGTTATAAAATATTCCATAAATTAGGTTGTTACTTGTCGTTGTGATTTGTGTTGTTTAAAAATAACATAATGTTTTAATTGAAAAATAATATTTATATTATAAAATATATATATATTTTAAATATGTTTGATAATAATAAGTTTATGACAAAAAAAAATTTAACTAACAATATGTTTATGTATTTAAAAACGTAATGGAAAACAGGAAAACAAAAAAAAAAGGTCATTCAAAATGTTTGTGTTATAGTTGGTTGTTAATGATTGTGGATAAATTATGTTGGTATGTAGTTAATTATGTTTTTTATGATAGTTTTTTAAAACAATATAAGTTATTATTTAAATATTATTGAAAACAATACAGATATATGCCGGAGAGAGAGAGAGAGAGAGAGAGAAAGAGAGAGTAGGAAAATAAATACTATAACGCTGATTTCTAAAGTTTTGCTAAAAAGCCGGAGAGTTGTATATTAAAGACTCTAGAAATGAATGTTATAATGATTAAAGGAAATTTAAAATTTTGTTTAGTTGGCAAAAGTTGCAGTTAATGTGAGTAACTTAAAAAAGTACGAGTTATATTCTAAACTCAGTAGGCCTCATCTTGTGTTCTCTAATAACTCTATATAGTCCAACACTCCTTATCGCTATTTATTCTAACTACAGATTTGCCCTTTAAATTAGAAAATTTACAAGTCAAACTTAACTTTAACATTAAGATTGATTTGAAACTAAATCCTTTCTCAAATGGTAAATGTTGTTTGCGATTTATTTCTCAAACTTTCTCTTTGATTTTTAAAAATTTATGAAAGTTTATTAAGAAACTAATGATTCAATTTATAGAGGACACTTTTTTCGAAATTAAGACGATTTAGCTTAGATAGTACTAGATGGCTTGGTGAGCAGGTTGTTTACATGTTTACATTTCTGGGGAAACACTTTGGTCCATCTTATTGATTCCTTTGTGACAATAATACAATATAGTTCGACGTAATAACTTTATATCCGTCTCCCGGGACTTAATACTAGCGAAATGTAATAAGCTCTCTTGTACCCTTTCTTTCACACGTACATATGATCACAATTGTATAACAAAGAACAAACAAAACCAGTTGGAGAGCTAAATTTTAACTCTCTGTCTATCGCTGTTTTATACTGCTATATATTTCTAAGCTTTGAGTTCTTTTAGAATTTACAATAAAGAAACTGACAAATCTTTGTAGAACCGAGAAAGGTTTCCTAACGTAAATAGTTTGTTTTCCAGATCCGTTATGATCTGGAAAACATTTAAGATATGTTCTAAACTATAAACCGAAACTTGTTTTCAAACAGAGAAGAATTAATTTAGAAATTTGAAGAATTTAAAACAAAGGTTTTAATAACCAAATATGGCTCATTCGTTTTTATAATGTGATCTTTTACGAACAGACAATCATCTTACATATGAACCGCAAGATATTTTTGAACAAAGATTGCTAAAACTTGAGAATAGTTTTAAAATAAAAGCATATTTGTATCTCTTAACGGAATATTGGGATCAGTTATGAACGAAAGATCATCTAAGATATGACCCATTCTCTTAACGGTCAAATCTTTTGCCACTTTTCCTTAAAATTCTAACAATTTACTTCCATCCAAAACAATGCACAACCTTCAATCATTATAACAAACTTTTCTAGAGTCATTTTTAAAAACCTTATTTCTTTAAAAGAAAATCTACTATTATTATAGAAAAAAAACTATTCTTTTTTTAAAAACTGGTGCTTTATATTTGTATAAGTGTTCCTTAACATTTATCCTTTCAAAAATAATTATTAAAAAAAAAAACTATTGGCTATCAAGCTTAACATTCGTTCTACTAAACAAGTTTTCTTTATTTATAAATAAAAGAAGAGAACAAAATAGTTTGTTTATATTATAAATTTAATTTTCATTATTATCGTCATCATCTTCATCATAATCATTAAACTTGTCAACATTAATAAAATAATATTTTGTTTCTTTTTATATATTTATTAATAAATATGTATTTATGTATGTATGTATGTATCATTTTGAATTAAATATGTATGTATGTATGTGTATAATTTATTTATTAGGGAACTGCATTACTATTTATTGATCATTTATATTGTATTTTGTAAAACAGAGTACGTCGTATTTACTTTATCAGTTTTAGTTGTATTTAAAAATTTACTAAAAGAAAAATGTCAAATTAAATGTTTTCTTTAAATAAATAAATTTTTAAGGAATCGAAATTAACTTTAACCGGCATATGTTGTAAAATATACAGTTAAAATTTTAAAAAATTTTTATAAGCAATCTATTTAGGTAAAAAATAAATTTATCATAAATTTCCTTAATTTGTTAAAAAATAAATTTACAATTTTCCTTTTTAACGCCTCAAACTTCTTTGTTTTCAAACATTTAATCTCACATTTTTCTTTTATTTTAATTGTTTTTATTTATAAATTTTCTGTATCGTCTGGTGGTTAAATTGTGGTATTCGAGTTATTTATTTTTTGTTTCTTGCAATTATTTATATTCATTTTGAATATTTTTTCAAATTGGTTTTCTTTTCCTTTGTTTTTATTTTTTACTAAATATAACAACAAATGCATTATCACCAATGCGTGGGATATATATTTTTTTGTATTGTTTTCTTACTACCAAAAAAATTATATTAGACTTTTTTCTTGTTCGTACTAATCTTAAGAATCGTTTATAACGTTTTTTTTTTTTTTTTTAATTTTCATATTTTTTAAAGGGCGGGGGAACTAAATGTTAGTGATAATAATTATTAAATGGTCGTCTTATACGTTTTTGCCTTTTGCTTTTGTTTTGTTATATTTGTTGTAGTTAAGAAGCTTTTTTGCAAAAAAGAAAGACTTTGTAATAAATATTCTGTATATATAATTCTATAATATGGCTTCTAACGTGTTTTTATAGCCATTTTTCTGTTTCTTTTTTTCTTTATAGTTTTAGGATTTTCTTTTACGTTTGTTTCTATTTTTGTTTGTATGTTGTTTTGTTTTTGTTTTGTGTGTATGTTGCTTTTCTTTTAATGTGTTTTATGTTGCTGTTGTTGATGTAGTGTATTTGTCGTTGATCTCGAGACTGGTCGACAACGTACTCGAGGTGGCAGTGTCCATGTCGTCGTAGCGGTTGGTCATAGTGATTCTTTAGAGGGTACCCATATAGTTGGACCAGATTGTGACCAAATCATTGATTTCACTTTACTGTAGATTTCTTCGATAGTATCGCCTTGTACTACGCCTAAAAAAATGACAACAAAACAAACTTATTTTAACATTTCATTCCATTTTAAAAACTATCACAAACTAGTGTCCAAAGGTAAGACAATAATCCGAATAAAGGGCTATACTAGGTTATAAACAGGATTGTGGAACTAGAACTGAACTAGAACTGAACTAGAACTGAACTAGAACTGAACTAGAACTGAACTAGAATAGAACTGAACTAGAACTGAACTAGAACTGAACTAGAACTGAACTAGAACTGAACTAGAACTGAACTAGAACTGAACTAGAACTGAACTAGAACTGAACTAGAACTGAACTAGAACTGAACTAGAACTGAACTAGAACTGAACTAGAACTGAACTAGAACTGAACTAGAACTGAACTAGAACTGAACTAGAACTGAACTAGAACTGAACTAGAACTGAACTAGAACTGAACTAGAACTGAACTAGAACTGAACTAGAACTGAACTAGAACTGAACTAGAACTGAACTAGAACTGAACTAGAACTGAACTAGAACTGAACTAGAACTGAACTAGAACTGAACTAGAACTGAACTAGAACTGAACTAGACTAGAACTGAACTAGAACTGAACTAGAACTGAACTAGAACTGACTAGAACTGAACTAGAACTGAACTAGAACTGAACTAGAACTGAACTAGAACTGAACTAGAACTGAACTAGAACTGAACTAGAACTGAACTAGAACTGAACTAGAACTGAACTAGAACTGAACTAGAACTGAACTAGAACTGAACTAGAACTGAACTAGAACTGAACTAGAACTGAACTAGAACTGAACTAGAACTGAACTAGAACTGAATTAGAACTGAACCAGAATTGAACCAAAACTTAATATTTTTTGATTATGCAAAACAAATTAATGTTAGAAAAAGTTGGTTAATCCAAAACTAGGTTTCTTTGCGAATACTTTTAGAAATATTTTCTATTTTTATGTGAGTACCACGGTTGGTATGAATAATATTGTTTTGAATAAAAAATGTATTACTTACCAGTAAAGTACTCTCCGAATTCTTGTTCCATTTTGATAGCACGTTCATATGTTTTCTTGGCTTGTTCTTCGGTCATACGACGATTCATTTCCCTAAATGAATTGTAATAAAATAAATGATTAATAATTAATTAAATTAATTAATCAAAACTAAAAATAATAAAATTAATTTTACTAAAATATTCAAACTGTTTAGTTAAAACAATAATGCTATGGTAATTTCGTAAGTCCTTAAATAATTTTTCCAAATTAAAACAAAAAATCTTGTTCTGAACAAAACTAAAAATTGAAATTATTCAAAATCAATTTTCTATTATGTACAGGAAAAATTGCATTTAAAATCTAAACAATTTTAAATTGAAATTAACTTTAGTAAAATAACATGAAATAACGTTTTAATAACAGTTTAATTGCATAAATAAATTATAGCCTGTAAATGAAAACTTCTCTGAAACTATAAATACAATTACTTCATAATCTATTCCAACAGTTAACAATTTAAATTTACAAATGACAATTAAATGATTTGTAAATTGTTTTAACACGCAAAGTTTCAAACAAGTTTTTTAAATTTAAAAAATATTCCCATTAATTATTTTAATAACTATGCCGCTTAAATGTATATATGTATGCATATAAACAATATGTTTAATAATTAACTTACATGATTGAATCAACAGATTTAGGTTTAATAAATACAGCAATTGGATATAATTGTGCTACTTGTAAACGTTTTATTGCATTGCCCGATACATCTAGAATACAATGTTTACCCTTTTCGGCAACTTCACGTACACTGGCTACCGAGGTGCCATACAAATTATCATTGTATTGACCAGCCTCGATAAATAGATGATTTTGTATATCATGTTCCATTTGTTCGCGCGATGATACAAAATGATAATCACGTCCATCCACTTCATAATCACGTTTGGGACGTGTAGTATCTGAATGAGAAAATGGAAAACAAATGGAAATTAATAAAATTTAAAATAAAACATCTGAAAAATAGTTTAGTATTGAAATTTCCTAGAAATTTCAAGTTCAGTTCTAGTTCAGCTATAGTTCAGTTATTGTTCAGTTCTAGTTCAGTTCTAGTTCAGTTCTAGTTCAGTTCTAGTTCAGTTCTAGTTCAGTTCTAGTTCAGTTCCAGTTCAGTTCCAGTTCAGTTCAGTTCAGTTCTAGTTCAGTTCTAGTTCAGTTCTAGTTCAGTTCTAGTTCAGTTCTAGTTCAGTTCTAGTTCAGTTCTAGTTCAGTTCTAGTTCAGTTCTAGTTCAGTTCTAGTTCAGTTCTAGTTCAGTTCTAGTTCAGTTCTAGTTCAGTTCTAGTTCAGTTCTAGTTCAGTTCTAGTTCAGTTCTAGTTCAGTTCTAGTTCAGTTCTAGTTCAGTTCTAGTTCAGTTCTAGTTCAGTTCTAGTTCAGTTCTAGTTCAGTTCTAGTTCAGTTCTAGTTCAGTTCTAGTTCAGTTCTAGTTCAGTTCTAGTTCAGTTCTAGTTCAGTTCTAGTTCAGTTCTAGTTCAGTTCTAGTTCAGTTCTAGTTCAGTTCTAGTTCAGTTCTAGTTCAGTTCAAGTTCAGTTCAAGTTCAGTTCAAGTTCAGTTCTAGTTCAGTTCTAGTTCAGTTCTAGTTCAGTAGTTCTAGTTCAGTTCTAGTTCAGTTCTAGTTCAGTTCTAGTTCAGTTCTAGTTCAGTTCTAGTTCAGTTCTAGTTCAGTTCTAGTTCAGTTCTAGTTCAGTTCTAGTTCAGTTCTAGTTCAGTTCTAGTTCAGTTCTAGTTCAGTTCTAGTTCAGTTCTAGTTCAGTTCTAGTTCAGTTCTAGTTCAGTTCTAGTCAGTTCTAGTTCAGTTCTAGTTCAGTTCTAGTTCAGTTCTAGTTCAGTTCTAGTTCAGTTCTAGTTCAGTTCTAGTTCTAGTTCTAGTTCAGTTCTAGTTCTAGTTCAGTTCTAGTCTAGTTCAGTTCTAGTTCAGTTAGTCAGTTCTAGTTCAGTTCTAGTTCAGTTCTAGTTCAGTTCTAGTTCAGTTCTAGTCAGTTCTAGTTCAGTTCTAGTTCAGTTCTAGTTCAGTTCTAGTTCAGTTCTAGTTCAGTTCTAGTTCAGTTCTAGTTCAGTTCTAGTTCAGTTCTAGTTCAGTCTAGTTCAGTTCTAGTTCAGTTCTAGTTCAGTTCTAGTTCAGTTCTAGTTCAGTTCTAGTTCAGTTCTAGTTCAGTTCTAGTTCAGTTCTAGTTCAGTTCTAGTTCAGTTCTAGTTCAGTTCTAGTTCTAGTTCAGTTCTAGTTCAGTTCTAGTTCTAGTCCGTTCTAGTTCAGTTCTAGTTCAGTTCTAGTTCAGTTCTAGTTCAGTTCTAGTTCAGTTCTAGTTCAGTTCTAGTTCAGTTCTAGTTCAGTTCTAGTTCAGTTCTAGTTCAGTTCTAGTTCAGTTCTAGTTCAGTTCTAGTTCAGTTCTAGTTCAGTTCTAGTTCAGTTCTAGTTCAGTTCTAGTTCAGTTCTAGTTCAGTTTCTAGTTCAGTTCTAGTTCAGTTCTAGTTCAGTTCTAGTTCAGTTCTAGTTCAGTTCTAGTTCAGTTCTAGTTCAGTTCTAGTTCAGTTCTAGTTCAGTTCTAGTTCAGTTCTAGTTCAGTTCTAGTTCAGTTCTAGTTCAGTTCTAGTTCAGTTCTAGTTCAGTTCTAGTTCAGTTCTAGTTCAGTTCTAGTTCAGTTCTAGTTCAGTTCTAGTTCAGTTCTAGTTCAGTTCTAGTTCAGTTCTAGTTCAGTTCTAGTTCAGTTCTAGTTCAGTTCTAGTTCAGTTCTAGTTCAGTTCTAGTTCAGTTCTAGTTCAGTTCTAGTTCAGTTCTAGTCAGTTCTAGTTCAGTTCTAGTTCAGTTCTAGTTCAGTTCTAGTTCAGTTCTAGTTCAGTTCTAGTTCAGTTCTAGTTCAGTTCTAGTTCAGTTCTAGTTCAGTTCTAGTTCAGTTCTAGTTCAGTTCTAGTTCAGTTCTAGTTCAGTTCTAGTTCAGTTCTAGTTCAGTTCTAGTTCAGTTCTAGTTCAGTTCTAGTTCAGTTCTAGTTCAGTTCTAGTTCAGTTCTAGTTCAGTTCTAGTTCAGTTCTAGTTCAGTTCTAGTTCAGTTCTAGTTCAGTTCTAGTTCAGTTCTAGTTCAGTTCTAGTTCAGTTCTAGTTCAGTTCTAGTTCAGTTCTAGTTCAGTTCTAGTTCAGTTCTAGTTCAGTTCTAGTTCAGTTCTAGTTCAGTTCTAGTTCAGTTCTAGTTCAGTTCTAGTTCAGTTCTAGTTCAGTTCTAGTTCAGTTCTCGTTCAGTTCTAGTTCAGTTCTAGTTCAGTTCTAGTTCAGTTCTAGTTCAGTTCTATGTTCAGTTCTAGTTCAGTTCTAGTTCAGTTCTAGTTCAGTTCTAGTTCAGTTCTAGTTCAGTTCTAGTTCAGTTCTAGTTCAGTTCTAGTTCAGTTCTAGTTCAGTTCTAGTTCAGTTCTAGTTCAGTTCTAGTTCAGTTCTAGTTCAGTTCTAGTTCAGTTCTAGTTCAGTTCTAGTTCAGTTCTAGTTCAGTTCTAGTTCAGTTCTAGTTCAGTTCTAGTTCAGTTTAGTTCAGTTCTAGTTCAGTTCTAGTAGTTCGTTCTAGTTCAGTTCTTTCAGTTCTAGTTCAGTTCTAGTTCAGTTAGAGTTCATCGTATCTTCAGTTAGTTCAGCTGTAGTCAGTTCAGTAGTTAGTTTAGTTCAGTAGTTCAGTTCTAGTTCAGTTCTAGTTCAGTTCTAGTTCAGTTCTAGTTCAGTTCTAGTTCAGTTCTAGTTCAGTTCTAGTTCAGTTCTAGTTCAGTTCTAGTTCAGTTCTAGTTCAATAAAATTATAAACAAAAATATTAAACTTACGTGGCACATGATCCAAATTTATCTGGATATTCTGATATTAAATCATCATTAATACGATCCTTTAAGGGACCCAATATTATAACGGGTCTGGTGTAATTTATCGATAACCGTTGCACAGCCTCGTACGATAAGACGTTCTCTTCTGAAGCTGTAAAAGTATATGTGAAAAATGTTTTATGCAAAGGGAGCTAAAGGACATGCAAGCGTCTTATAAATGAAAAATAATAATGATATTTATTTATATATATATATATTTATATACTCTTTTATATATATATGTATATTTTTTGTGGTAAAATCTATAATACAATTCTAAAGCCAATAGGTTTTCTTTTGTAATGCCATCTTTGTTTAAAATGTAGCAAAAATATGAAGAGTTTTCTTTTACAATATATTTTTTTTATGAAAGTTTATGTTAGAGATTTATATATTAATTGAATTGAATTTGATTAATATTCTTGGCTTAATTAAAGGTTAATATTAAAGAAACAATTTGTAAATTAAAGAAAATGTTTGTTAACGAAAAATAACAACTAAAACAGAAGAGAAACTTGGTTAAATCATAAACAAAAATTCTAATCTAAAAGATTTTGCAGGCAAGTGTGTGTATAGAGGTGTGTTTTTTTTTTAATATAGAGATATAATTTTTGTTGGTTTTTTGTGTTAAAAGTTTTTAAACATTTATAATAATAAATATGTATATAAACGAGTAGATATGTATGTAGTTAATAAAATGCATTCAAGACATTTAATAATTTCTGTTAAGTGTACATTATAATGTTTGTTTTGTGTAAAAAAAAATAGACAAAATTTCATTTCCCAGTAATCCAAAAGAACGCATAGACACGACAGATAATAGATAGATTCACATAAACATTTCTACTGGCATACAAAAAGAGGACTACAAAAAATAACATTTAAATTATATTGAAAATAAACACAGAAGAATAAGAATTTATAAAAATAATAAAAATTTTAAAATATATATAAAATTAAAACAATAATTCTGTTTTATAAACATAGAATGAAGTAAAAAAATAACATTAATAAAAACATAATAAATATTAAAATTAATTTAAATAAATTATAACTTTATGTAAAAATTAACTTACATTTTCTTTTTTTAACAAAATAATATTTTTTAATAAATGTTTGTATTTAAAAAAAACAAACTCAGGCTACATATAAGTTGATAAATATAAATATTTTAATTTTGTTTATTTATTTATTTTTTTATGATTAATAAAGTTAATGTACACAACAACACATTGATTTTTGTAAAAGTTTTATTTAAAAAAAAAAATATTGTTTTATTATTAAGACCATGTATGGATGGATGTAGTTGGTGGCAAAACGATAAATTTTTAGGAAAGAGAAAATGTCTCTAAACGTTTAATTCCTTACTAGTTAGAAAAATAAACATAAAATAGGGGTGGCTGGGTCTAACACAATTTCCAATTAAAATTGAGAAAATGTATGGATGTTACACTTGAACTTAAATTCATAGAAGAAGAATACCGATCTACATTAATAAAATTTATTTAAAATATATTCCAAATTTTGATGCATAGTTTCAACAATTTCAATTGGAAATTATATTAAAATATAACCTCAAATAATCAAGCATAACCTATAAATAATAGAGATAACAATTTTCTAAATTTGCTAACACAATTTTTGAGACTACATAGATGAAGAAATGACGAAAACTTCTTTGACCTAGTGAAAAACAATGGACCAACTAACTGAATCAAAAAGTATCATAAAATTTACTTACATACATGCTGACAAATTAGTAGATTTCACCTGAAATAACTTGCACTGAAATATTTTAGAATTTCTATTTCAATACCAATTTTACTTTTATTCAAATTTATATTACCGACTTTTAAATCGTTAATATAGACATAATAAACCTCACAATTTAAACTGTAGAATAATTAAACCTAAAGGTTCTTGAAACCTATAAATTGTACAACCAATATAATCCTAGTTTTGTTGATGCAACCCTTAAATTTGATTAAATGACAAGAATAATGATTTGGCAGAGTATTGACTGTAATTAGTTAAGAAAAATAGTTAATATAACAGTTTTTATAACAATTCATACATATAAAAAAGTTTCATCATAAACAGAACGAACTGTTTTCATAAACTAAAGTTTATTCTAATATTTAAGAATAATTTCATAAATAGTATGAATTTTTTCATATTTATGTTCAATAATGTACTATTTATGAATATTACTTTCTGACTGAAAATGATTTGGGAAAAATGTCGTTTTCATTCATTCATACTATTTATTACAAAATTCATTCCATTTATGAACTATTTTTTCTAGGTACAGATGTTTTCAAAATGTATGGGAAATTTCTAAATTTAGCTTTTAAATAGCAAATAAGTGATGGATACACAGTTAAATAATTCAAATCACAAAATTTTCGATCATGATAAGTTTCCTCTTAAGTTCTAAATAAGTTGTGATACTCTAAATACTTTATAATGCCTTAAACATGGATAGGTTTAAAAGCAATATAAGTTTTAAATTTGTCCAATAATTGGCGTCGTAGTTTAAAACTAAACAGCAAATATTTGAGGATAATTAGTTCGTTATAATATGATCTGTTTCTATAAACAAGTTTTTATTGTTTTCAATTCTGAAATCAATATCGTTCTAGTTGAATGTGTAATTCTCTTCATAAAAAGTGAAGATCCAAAGAGGAGAAATCAATAGCAACAGGTCAATTCCCAAGGGGTTGCAACTCAGAAGATTTACCGAGTCGATTCCCTAAAGAAAGAAATATGAGAGACTCTGAGTTTGCCTATAAAACCCAGTCTAATAATAACTAATTCTCCTGATAAAACATAGTAGACAGCGAGGGCTAAGTCTCTCAATTTCTTCCAGTTTCTCATGGAACCTATTACTCAACAATTTCATCACATTCTGTATTCTAGGAGAGCGGAAAATTATATGTTCGAATGTTTCTAGTTCCTCTGTATCTTCGCATAACCTTCAATAGTCCGATATTTTACTTCCCCACTTACTAATAATGGCTTTAATATAGCAACATCAACATCCCTATCAGAATCATTCAACAGTGTCTATCTAGTCCTAAAAGTCGTTTTCCACATCGCTAGGATCTTTGCTTGGAAGACATTACATTCGTCAGGGAGTCTGAAGGACCTTTTTATATCGCTATCAATGATGTAGACACCAGACTAACGAAGACATATAGTCTTAGCAGATTTCTAGCCACCAGAATGGACAGAATGATGTCCAAGACCGCTTGTGCTGTACTGCTAATGACATCAGTACTGCCAAAAGAGTTACACCTTTGAGCTTTATTAAGCAAATTCCGTAAAACGTCTGGTCTACCAACAGATAATGATACCATAAGATAGAAAAGGCCTGACAACCGATGTGTAAATCCAACATGCCATATCTGTTAGCAGATCCAAATTCTTTTCTATAGAATTCTAGTAGGCAGTGAGTCCCTTTTTCATTCTTCCTGGAATATTTTCTTTCCAAGAAAACTTGCTATCATGGATTGTTCACTTATAGATAAACTTAGTTCGATTTCATGTAACTTTTGGCAGTCTGAAGTTGTCGACGTTATACCTTTTGGTAAATAATACCAGTGCCGTTTTTCCAGGATTCACGCCCAGTTCTTTTTCTTTCGCCCATAACAAGACTTTACCTAGTGCAGTCTCAATGATGTCACTGATCGTGGATAGAAGTTTTCCTTTGATCAATAACACCACATCATCTGTATAGGCAACGATCTTTCTACATTTAGATTCAAATAGACTTCTAATGCAATGAATCTTTAGGTTCGAGTTTATAATTCAGCTGCTAAGCATGCAGATTATCAACAGCACCGGAAAGTTCTGGTTCTTCTTTTTATCGAAATAATAAAGAAATATCTCGAACAGACTTCAGTAGCTATTCTACAAAAATTCTATACTAATATTTTAGTTCTACATCCTTCAGTTTCCAATAAAAAACATTATCCTTGGGGCCTGTAACCAAACAATTGCCTAACAATGAAATTCAATTCCTCTATTACATCTCTAATGGAAATTTCTATATCTAAAAGTTAAGATTTTTGGAAATTGAAAAAAAACTAAAATATATACGAAAATTTAGAAAAATAAAATTGAAATTGTTGTAATTAAACACAAAACCATAGTTTTCGTTACCTTTTTAAAATTCGGACACTGTAAATCTTACTTTTAGCATCACAACACTATTTAACTGCTTACATTTCCTGCAAGAAATCAACTAAAAGAAATCTCACTAGATCAAGAATAAACATATAGATATTTGGAAAAATTAGCAAGATAAAGCTCAACTAAAAGTAAAAAATTTTAGCAAAAACTGTTATATTAACTAAAATGAATAAGATTTTACAGCAATTACAACTGTTAACCTGAAATATATATATATATATATTTTTTTAGAGAAAAATATATCAAGTTAGTAATGGTGTAAAAGTGTTTTTGGTATTTGTGTGCAAAGAGTGACATTAAAAAAAAAAAAGAAAACGATTTTTTTTAAGGGAGTAAAAGACGTGACGTTGGAGGGAATTTAAAAAAGAAAATAAATAGGGAACTTACTAAACAGCTAAACATTCCTGTAGGGAAATATTTTTTGGTAGTAGTATGTTAACAACAAAGTTAATTAACTGGTAAATCAGATTTAATAAAATTTGTAGGGAATTTTTGGGGGGAAACAAAAAGGTAAACAAACTAACGTAACGATTTTCAACAATATTCATATAAAACAGCTGGAAACAAAGAAGAAACTCTTTCAACAAAGTTTTCATTTTGCAAACTATAATATTTCTACCAACAAGACACAACTACAAATTCAAAGAAAATTTTTACAAAAAAAAAAAAAATTAACTAAATTTAAGAAAGAAAAACAAAATAAACTCAAACCAAATAACACAAAATAAGCAACAAAGCTTTTTCAAAGCTCAAACAAACTTAAAATTTAAAAAAAAAATTAGAAAAATTTAATTAAAAATTAGTTTTAAGTGAAAGAAAAAAAACTACAAAAATATAGTAAAAACTACTACAGTTTTTTTCTGTAACAAAAATATTTTTTGAAAATTTGAAAACTGCATGACAAACAAAATGTTTTAAGTTTTTAAATTGTTTTTTTTTTTTTTAATTAAATACCAAACTAAATATAACGTTAATAAGGTTAAGTTTCTTTAAAAAAAAATAGTAGTTAACAGTTGTAGTAAGTAGTAGTTGTAAATAGACAATGGACTGTGATTAAATTTTAATTGTGATAAAAAAAATTTTGATTTTAATTATGAAATAAAATAAAACAAAAGTTTCCGGTTTCTTTTAACGGACTAAAACAATAAAAATTATTTGTTTTTCTTTTAATAGTAATTGATTTTTTTGTTTTTGTTTAAAGATAAAATACATCATTTGAAATGTTTTGAGTTTAATTATGCTTAATTGTTTTTAACATTACTTTTTTTTTTAAAAAAAATATTCATTTCAACATTTCTGTTTTTGTATTTTAAATGTTTTTAAATTTTCAATTTTTATTTTTTAGTTGCTGGACTTACGATAGTCAGCATCACTATTCTCCAGGTAGATAAGAGTTATTTGTTCCATATCAGGTAGTTCCACTCTATAGATGATTTCGTTGCCTTTTTTGCAAATCACACACACACATCACACATTTTTAACGGATCGGTAACGGGATTTATATAATATAGTTGCACGGTTGGTAGTAGTAGTAGTAGTAGTCAATAATAGTAGTAGTAGTAGTAGTAATATATTTGGTGTATATTTTTGGTAGTAGTAGTGATAATTAAAAGTGGTATAAGAAGCACAATTTGTAGTAGAAAAATCAATTTTAAGGTTATTTATTTAAATGGTGTTGGTTGGTTGATTGGTTTCAATTTAATAAAAAAAATATTATCGGAGTTTTGATATTTGATTGGCAATTAATAAATGGTAGAAGGTTGGTGTAGAAGTAGTTAAAAGTTTTTATTTTGTTGGATTATATGTTTGATTTTATAACAATTACAAGTTGATTGTTTGATAAATACAAGTAGTAGTAGTAGTAGGTAGGTAGTAGTAGTAGAAAAAAGTAGTAAAAAAGAGAATAAAGATAAAAAACAAATTCAAAAGAAAAAAAGAAAATCATCTATTATTGCCATACGTTGTTGATTTTTTATAGGAGATTTTTGGTTTGTATATTTAATTTAAATAAAAATTAAAAAATTATAAACAAAATCTAATAAAAACTTAAGAAAACTTCAAAGGATACAACAAAACGAAAACAAATGATAAGTCATAAAAAAACAAAGCTCAAAAAGGTTACAAAACTAAAAAAGAGACAAAATTTTTTTTGGATTTGGTGACCTGTTTGAACCAATTTCTTTTTTATTTGAAAATTTGACAATATTTCACACAACAACTACAAGCAGGGAAATGAGTTTGAAACAAGTTTGATTTGATGTTATGAATACAATCAATATCAATATCAATCATTCATCATAAATTTTGGTTATTGACTTAAATGACAATTGTTGCTTTTATTTTTGTTTTTTTGTTTTGAAACGATACGAATTTCGCTATGCCACACCTGCCATACAAGATCGTTTATTGGTAATAATTTGTTTGAATTTGCTTAATTTAGTACACAGAGAGAAAACATTGCAAGCTTTTTTGTTTTGTTTTTGTATATTTATGTATTATAATATATTTATAAGAAAAATATTTTACATAAGACATTTGCTATATAAGCAGAGTATTAAAAGAATTATTTCAGTTTTTCTAGGACAAAAAAAATTAGTTCTTTAGCTTAAATTATAAAACCTAAATTTGATTGCTTTAATTTGTTTCAGTGTTTTATACTATATGATTTGTTTTCAATTATATAGTTTTCTATAAACAAATAGTCTATTTATAATTTATCTTCTATTCAAAAGAATATAATTTAATTAAGAATTTATTTTTAATAAAAAAATTAATTCAATCTAATTTTAGTTAAAAAATTCCCAGCTAAAAAACTAATTATTTATTTTTATACTATTTCTACTATAGTTAAAACTTAAAGACATATTATTATAAAGAAAATTATTACAAATAGTAAAAATAGTATATGTATGTAATTATTTAATTCTTTTTAAAACTCTGTTTATAACACATTTTGTATGTATGAGTTGAGTTTGTTATATATTGAAATATAACAGTTTTTCTTTGAAAATTAAAAAAAAAGTGCTTTAAATCATAGAAATAAAAATAAAAGAGAGAAAGAGATATTCAAATCTGAAGTTCCTATTAACGATAAGACTTTTTTAAACTAATGAATGTATGTATATACCCAGTAATTGTATTATTAAAATTTTTGTAACGAAAAAATAAAACAAAAATCGTTAGAAAAGTTTAAATACACTCCTTTAATTCCTTTAAATTGTTATTTAAATTAAAAGATAATCTTCTGGTTAAGGCATTTCAATAAGGTAGCCATTTTGAAAGACTTGTCTGCAGATGATGCAGCTGTAGTGACTCTGAATACGGCCTTAAGCTGGGCTCAACTAAGAAGCCTGAATGATAACCCGACGAACCGAAATCTCAGTCGAGTTGTGGAACAACTCTCGCGTCATCGCCATTATTTTTTTAAGGAAGGTTAGGCTTGTGTTTGTTGCCCAGCTTTCGACAGATTTACGTCTCATTCGCACTACCATTAAACGCGTGCTTTCGTTTTTTCTAAAAGTGAGGTTATGTGTTTAACTGGTGAAGAACATTTACTGAGACCATTAAAACTAATAAAATTAATTCTGATGGAGACCAAATAATGCTTTTGATTCGGTGCTCCAACTTCCTATATGAAGGTATAGGTCGTTTGGAGGTGTGTCCCCGAACACACGTGTGATAACCTGCCAATGGAATGTTAAACCCTGGCCGTACATCATAAAGGAGATACCACGCAGATGATTGGATTAACAAGACACATAGATGCTGGGCGTTATGTAGGAGAAATGGGGCCTTAGTCCTTCTATGACACATTCGCTTTATAAAAAAGGGTGACAAGACTAATTCTAACTTGTGCTTTAATAATATAGTGAATTTCTTAGGACAAAAAGTATAATATCAACCTACTACAAGGAGTTCAGCGTACATGTTGCTTGGGTATTAGAGGTACCGTGAGCAATACATCAAACAAGGTTCTGGAACCGTTGCAGATATTCCACCCATTGAAATATATATGAAATGAGGCGGCACTAATAGCCGAACGGCTCTTAACTTTAGGCGAGCTGACCCTAGGTGATTGTACACGTGCCCGAGTCAGAGAATATGTCAGAAACTTTTATAACATTAATCCCATATAGAATGTCATGGTCAAGCGGATTGTTAGAGCTAAAACCCATAGGAATCCGTTGTAACACGGAAGACTTTATACGGGGGACAAAAAGGGACTCGGGTTCTATATGCAAGAGAGCTTTTAAAGGTTTTCGTCGAAATTAGATCCAAATACTTTCTAAAACGAGGACTTATAACCGCCTTTGGTCAGTTCGCATAAAGTCTCCATAAATGTATACTTGACACATTGCAAGGCTAAACACAAACATCAGACGTGCCCGATAGCATACCAGTCACTGAATATGTCGGAAATTTTGAAACACTAATCCCAGATATAATGTCATGGTCAAGAGGAACAATAGAGCAAATACCCATAGGAATCCGTTGCTACACGGATGGCTCTATACTGGGGGACAAAAAAAGGACTGAGGTTCTGTATTAAAGAAACAGAAATATACTACCGTCTACCAATCGCAATTAGGGCGTATTGGATTGTAAAAAAGCTTTTAAAGGGACGTATTGGATTGTAAGAAACTTTTAAAGGCTTTCGTCGAAATTAGATCTAAATATCTTGGGAGTGATATTATTCGGGATATAACATCCTTCACGAACTCTGATTGGAAAATTCTTAGGAATTATTACTCAGGCGAATAATAAAATAAAGTTCGAAATTGCATTATTTTAAAACTTATTGTGTATTTTCAAACTTTTCAAACGATTTTTGTTTTTAAAACGAATATTTTTTTTAGTAGATTCTTTTATCTAAAAAACAATAAATTTTATTTTTCAAAAATATTTCAAAATTTTAACTTGTTTTAGAAAATATTGAAAATCGTTAAAATATAGATTAGATCAGTCGAATAATATGTATGTATGTTGTTACGAACGAAACTGTTGACACTGGCACACATTAAATTATGATTGTTTTGGAAAATATGGTTCCAAAGTTTGTAGTAAGAATAGTAATATATTATGAATTGTTTAATATAAATATGAAAAAAAGCGTAACTATTTAAATATATTATTGTTTATAACTTATTAAATTGGGCTGAATATATGTAAATATATATGCAATTATATATGGGTATATATAAACCAATAATAATATTGTAATATATATGGTGATCATTTTGCTTTTTTTTTTTTTGTTATAATTATATATATTTTTTTGGGGGGATATTGTTTTTAAGGTTTTAAGGGGGAAAAAACAAATAAAAACCAAAAGCCAGATTAAAAACACATTAAATTTGTTAAAATAGTAATTGTTTTAAAAGGTTAAGGTACATAGGTATATAAGTAATATATAAGTATGTAGGTATGTAAGGTTAGGTATGTAATTATTATTATAATAGTAGTAGAATAGTAGTAGTAGAAGTAATAAATGTATATTTTTTTAATAATATGTTAAGTTAATAAATATATAATAATGTATAAAAAAAGGTAGGTATATAATATGTAAAAGAAATAAAAAAAAGAAAAATATAAATATAAATAATTAAAAGACTACATTGATAAAACATAAAAACATAAACTGATAAAATTACAGAAAAAATAAAACATAACACACTAATAAACAAATAAAATGTTTTGTTTTCTTTTTTCAATATATAGGAAAAATATATTATTACAGTACATTAAAATTATAAATAATAAAAATAATAAAATTAAAATAAAAACAGTATATGTAGCATTAAATTATAGTTTAATTGAAAAAAAAACAGTTATACTAGATTTGATTACATACCTCCTTCAGCATTGGCATCGTCTTGAGTGTAGCAAAGCATAAAAGCTAGAAATATTAAAGAATTGAGAGAGAAGAGAAAAAAACACAAAGAGTTGATTTGATTTGTTGTTTGGTTTTTTTGTTTGTTTGTCAAAAAAAAAGAGAAAGAAAGAAAGAAAGTGTATTCGAGAGAAAAGAAAAAGTAATAATAGTTTTACACAATTTTCAGAAATTTTCTCTATGATTTTTTAACAAATTTATAGCGATTTGATTTTTGCGTTACTTGAAAATTATTGGGAATTTGTTTCTAATTATCATTACTGCTAAACTACTTGCAGAAATACTGCTATTTAGTGTTGCAGAAGAAGTAACATGCTGAAACCAAAATCGTAAAGAATAAGTTGTCTTCTAATACTTTTATAATTCTTCTACAGAGTCACATAGTAACCCCTGTGACTAGAATAACGAAGTACTTCCAAAAGAATTGCATTATCACTGCTTCGAATGTAACATTAGTGCTTGTTTTAAACTTCTGTTGATGACCTTCAGAAGTAGTGAATTGAAATAGAAAAATAAGTTATATCTATCCTGTAATAAGCCTCTACTAAATTAATCGCTACAGATTCTATGTTTCGGTAATCCCATGTATTAAATTTAACTTTTATTTTGCTCTTTTATAGAGTAGCTAATAAACTAGTCTATGGATTAGTCTGTGAACTAATTGACTACCCTTTGAACTAGCCTATGTAATAGACTAATGGATAGTTGATTATCTTGTCAAAAAACTATTTTATTGACTAGTCTATGGATTAGTCTATTGACTAGAAAATGGATTATATAGAATAAATTAAACAACTGATTAGTTTATGGACAAGTCTATTAACTGGTCTATGGACTACTAGCCTTTTGACTACTCAATTCACTACTCTTTGGACTAGTTAATATGGGTTTTAAGCTCATCGTCCCGCTGACGCAGCATTACTTGAGACCAAAGTTGATCCCTTTGTAAAAATACTTGTAAGAAAAAGATAAATAGTAATAGAGTAAAGTGAAATATAAGGGACTGAACGAAACTAGGAATATGTCGTTTAAGTCCCGCCTAGTAGGAATCTGAAGTTCACACCCATTTTGATAGATACACAAATGAAAAGAGTTGTTCCAATTAAACATTTGATAGATAGATTGTTGAAGTAGGTTGGCCCTAGAGTTTAGTTTCTAGACGTTGCTGGGGCTGAACAGTTACAGACAATGTGGACTACCGTAATGAGTGATAACAGTGATAGTAGATTACCTAACGGTAGTAGTTCTACGTGGGTCCATATAAGGCCACAACGCTGTAGCGATGAAGCAAGTGTACTGACTCGGCCAACTGTCTTGAGCATTGAAATAACAGATGTCTATTAACACTCTTTTTATTGCGGTAGTGGAACTCCACAGAACTGGTTTTCAGAGCACTTAGCATGGTTCCAGCTCTTGCCATATTAATCTATTAATCGGTTAACTAGTCTATGGATTATTTAGTAATAGTTTATAATATAAAAAATACCTAGTATCACTTATGGATTCTGAATTCTGTGCGGTTCCTGATCTAATCTATTTTCTAAGAAGATATACAAGATAATTGGAAGTAAGTTTTGGTATGTAGTCTGGCAATATAGCAAAACTACTGGAAGCTTAATACTTTAAAATAAGCAAATAAGTATTTTTATTTCCAAAATATCCTAAAACACCCCAAAAAAAAAACTACATTAACGCAAAAAATAAAATCCTTAAAAAATATAAAAAACAAATCATAGAAAAATTCCTGAAAATTGTGTAAAAAGAATTTAAAGAAAAATAGTAAAAAAAGAAATTTAATGATTGAAAATGTTTTTTTACGATAAAATATGAACAAACGATTTGGCGCACGAACGAGAGACTGAAAACTGATTGATCTTGTTTAAATTAAGTAAGCAGACTACAAAGGGTAGTTTAATAAATATGTATAAAGACTGAGAGTAATAGAGACAGAGAGCTGTTTTGCTATTTGTTTAAGGAATAGATGCTTTGCTTTTTGGGTTCTTTCAAACTTTCATTCTAAACTTGCAATGATATTTTTGTATTTTGTTTTTTCTAAAAACTAATTATATCATTAGCATTATATATAATTATATTCAAATTTATGTTTAACTAAAAAAAACTTAAAATTTCACAAAAAAAAAAAATAATTAAAAATAAAGTAAAGAAAAAAAAAATAATTGCAAAATAAGAAAATATGAAAGAAATTTAAAAAGAAATCTTTTGTTTTATGTTGGTGACTGTAAAAGTTAGAAAATACTTAAATATATACTAACACATTACATCAGTTTTATATTAATATTCATATTAAGCCACAAATCTAAAACTATTACTAAATTAAAACCATTTATGTTCTATGTAGTTCAATATAAATTATGAAATATTAACAGTAATGTTTTAGCATACATTTTTTGTATTCAAATCTTAAAGTGAGATATTGAAAATTTGAAGTGTTCTGTAGAGACGATACCAGCCATTTAATTAAACGATTACCTTCTTAAAAATTAGAAAACAATTTGTATTTAAAAATATTAGAAAACCACCTAAAATATTTAAATTTAAATTAGTTTTAATTTAGAATCTTATTAAAACAATTAGCCCTAAAACCGTTATGTACTGTTGTTATTGTTAACAAATTACTTTTAGTTTAATAGAAAATTATACATATTTACATTTATATTATAATATTGTACATTTACCATTATTATTTGTTTGCAATTTAAGAAAATAGATTAGGTTTTCTTGTAATTAAAACATTTAGATAAGACTTTTTAGTTTATTTTGATGATAATTTACCCTAAATTTCTCTAAATGTTTAACAATATGTTGTGTTTTTTAAATAAGAAAATGACTCCTGGAATATTCACGAAAAACGTATAATTTTAAAATTTTTATTATTTTTTAATAGAATTACTTTTTTGATTTGTATAAAAATTTATTAAACATTTTTTATCATATAGACATTACTCATAAGTTATTCCTGGAATATTCGCGAAAAAATTTAGTTTTAATATTTTAATTTTTTTTAATTGTATAAAAATATATTGAATATTTCTTTTATTTTATAGATATTTATCATACGTTTAGGGACTTAAAAATTATTCCCGGAATATTGGCAAAAAAATATATAATTTTTAAATTAGTATTATAATTTTTTTTCAATAAATTACTATTTTTATTCTTTTATCTTATAGATATTCTTTTATCATATAGATATTTCTTATAAAAATCCTGGAATATTATCGAGAAAAGTCGTATTTTAACAATTTTATTGTTTATTTAAGTGAAATGTCTATTTTTGAAATGTATATATTAAGTTTATAAATATGTTGTTTTAATTAAAAATGTTTTCTCATATTCCTGGAATATTCGCGAAAAAAGTATACTGTTCAAATTTTATTTATTTGTTAAAATAAAATTACTATTTAAAATAATATAAGCAAATATTGAATAATTTATTTTATCATATAAATATTTCTTATAAAAATATTCCTGGAATATTCGCGAAAAAAAGTCGTATTTTAAAATTTTTATTGTTTTTTAAGAGAAATATCTAGTTTTAAAATCTTTATATACTTTCTAGTTTATTTTGAGGGTAAATTTCTCTAAATGTTTAAAAATATGTTGTTTTATTTAAAAATATGAAAATGATTCCAGGAATATTCGCGAAAAACGTCGTATTTCAAAATTTTTATTATTTTTTAAAGTGAAATGTCTAGTTTTGAAATGTATAAGTAGTTATTAAAAATTTTCTTTTATCATTCGTTTGGAGTCTTAACTACTTTCATGATCGTTCTAAATTTAGATGCTGTTTGCTGGAAATTAAAACTCTTTTTGCCTTTAATCTAATCTATAAACTAGTGAATAATCTGTAGACTAGTTAATATAGATGTTTCTGGAAAGAAAATTGCTTTTCTGTTCTATATCCTGCAGACAAACAGTTTGAGCTACGCGGAACTTGGAATAAGAATATCTTTGTAATTAATAAATACCTTTTTCTATAGTCTAGTTTCTAGTCTAGTCTATAGTCTAGTCTATAGTCTAGTCTATAGTCTAGTCTATAGTCTAGTCTATAGTCTAGTCTATAGTCTAGTCTATAGTCTAGTCTATAGTCTAGTCTATAGTCTAGTCTATAGTCTAGTCTATAGTCTAGTCTATAGTCTAGTCTATAGTCTAGTCTAGTCTATAGTCTAGTCTATAGTCTAGTCTATAGTCTAGTCTATAGTCTAGTCTATAGTCTAGTCTATAGTCTAGTCTATAGTCTAGTCTATAGTCTAGTCTATAGTCTAGTCTATAGTCTAGTCTATAGTGTAGTCTATAGTCTAGTCTATAGTCTAGTCTATAGTGTAGTCTATAGTCTAGTCTATAGTGTAGTCTATAGTCTAGTCTATAGTCTAGTCTAGTCTATAGTCGAGTCTATAGTCGAGTCTATAGTCTAGTCTATAGTCGAGTCTATAGTCTATAGTGTAGTCTATAGTCCAGTCTATAGTCTAGTCTATAGTTTAGTCTATAGTCTATACCTTTTTCTCCTGTTACTTTACTTTTGCAAACAAAATTTCTTTTGCTACATTAATTTAAATTTGTTTCGGAAGATTTAAAACCTATATAGCAAAACCTTTTCCAATTTTCTTAAATTAAAAATAATAATGGTTCTTTTTGTACCAACGTCTTGATTACACATATATTTTTTTATTATATATAGTAGAATTATAGATAAGAAGAAAAAATATACATAATTGAACAAACTTACGCTGTGGTTCATTGGAATCATTGTTGTTTAAATTATTAACATCTAGCTCACTATTACTGGCTGCAATTCCATTAGCTTTAGATACATAACACATTTTGTATCGTTTATCAATTCAATATTTGTTTGTGTGTTTGATAGATCATTTATCCAAAATAAAATAAACATGTTTTGTATGTAAAAAAAACAACCCCACAGTAATTAGGCAGTAGAGTACAATGTTTACAAAATTAAATTACATAATATAGTTTTTGGTTTTTTTTAAATTTTTTTGGGTTTAAAATGATGACCATAACACAGTAGAAGGTTTGATATTTATATAGTTAAAACCAACAAATTAAAACAGGACAATAGTACACATGAGGTCGAGGTCGAGTGATGGACGTAGTGTTCAAGATATTAAGTGTTGTTTAAGTAGAAGGAGCAGTAGTGGTGGTGGTGTTGTTTTTTTTTAATTTGACATCATTATGATAAAAATGGCATGAATTTGTTTACAGGAGGACATTTGTGTGGACAATAGACAATTGTAGTTGAAATAAAACAAAAATAAAAAAATGTATTAAATTAAAAGCGTAAAAAAATTATTACTTAAAGCCATAATTAAATAAAATAAAACATAAATTAATGAAAACATTTAATAAAGGACTGTTTTTCTTTGTAACAAAATTTACATTATTGTTTAAGTAAAAAAAAACACACTGGAAAATCTTATTGATTGATTACTCATCATTGGTAGAAGAGGAAAAGTGCAAAAAAATTAATTAACAATTTTAAAAATAATGGGTCAGCTGGTGCACGTTTTGTTTAAGGTTTGTTTAGAATTTGTTTAAAAGGACTTTTTGTAAATGTAATTATTTGTTTGGAATTATAATTATAATTTTTGGTGTTTGCTTTAACTGCTTTCCATTTTAAATAAAATGTTGTTTACCTTATTTATAAATACATAAGTCACTTATTGATTATTTTTACTTTAAAAAATATCACAAATGAAATATATTAATAAAACTACTTACGCTCTTGATCACTTCCATCTTCATTGCGCTCATCGCGACTCTTCATAAAAGGAAATTTGCGTGAAAAAGTAAAGTTTTTCTTTTTTCTATCAAGTGTTGATTGCTGGGAATAGTAAAAAAACAATAAAAATAAATAATAATTTAATTATATTTCTTTCTACACACAAAACTCACCTTATCCATATTATTATTTGCACTAGCTGATTGACCTTGAAATTTAACACTACGATCTCGCGCACGCATTTTACGTTCCCATCGACGTTTCGATGGTACAATACCAATTTGTTCATCCTCATTATCGCCCAAGACACGACGTGCCTGCCACCATTCATCATCCGAGGCATTTGTTACATGCAAAATATCACCATGTCTAAATGGTAGACCTCGCGAGGGCAGACCATCATCACGATTTGGATCATAATCGAAGAGGGCCCGTACATATAATGAACGTTTTTGTGTTGTACGCAATAGAGTGCCAGTACTGCCGGCCGTGAGAGCAGCTTGTTGCTTAAGCTCTTGTATGCGTGCCTCAAAACGATTATATTCTTCGGGTCTATATTGGGCAACTAAGGTAACCACACCGCCAGATTTCTAAAAGTGTTTGTTTTTATTTTGTTAGAATTTGTATATATTTTCCTCTTTAATTTGTTTACCTTTAAGGCCTGGGCAGCTTCTTCATGTGTGGCACTTCTTAAATCGATATCATTACAACTTAATAACTGATCTCCTCTTTTTAATTCACCACCCAAATCGGCTGGTCCACCCGCCAATATAAAGGAGACATAAATACCTTGACCATCTTCGCCGCCTACAATATTAAAACCTAAACCTTGTGGTCCTTTTTGTATGGTGATTGTTCGTGATTCTCTAAAAACGCAGAATTTTTTTTTTATAAAATTAGTTAAGAATTAAGAAGTTATTCAGTTTTTTTTTGTTAAAATTTTACACCATTTCCAAATAAGTTTATGTTATTTTTATTATCTTGTTCGATATCGAAAGTAAACATCTAAAGATCAAATTTACTCGATCATTACCATTACTAAAAGTATAAAATGGCGGTCAAATTTCAAATTTCGTATCAAAATAGAAAATTACTATAAATTTTAGTCGAATAGATTCTTCACAGAGAATTTCATTTGAATATCGCTCAAAATTTGATACGAATTTTACTAAAAATGTCTTTATAATTTCACAAAAATTTCATTCAAATTTCATACTTTATTTTTCATTGAAATTTAAATTTTTATTAACGTATAAAATTTTCATTCAAAATTTAAACCAAGAGTTCCAAATTTCACCAAAAATCAAGTGTTTCGCTAAAAATTTAAAACTTCATCAAAAATAAAATTTTTCAGGAAAAATTTTAATTTTCACAAAAAATTTAAAATTCTACCAAAAAATAATAGTTTCGCTATAAATTCAGAATTTCATCAGAAATTAACATTTTCACTAAAAATTAGATTTTTTTTGCGAAGACTTAAATTTTCACAAAAAGTTCAAAATTTCACCAAAATTCAAATTTTCACTAAAAATTGAAATTTTCGCCAAAAATTTTAACTTTCACAAAAAAGTTCAAAATTTCACTAAAACTAAATATTCACCAAAAACTAAAATTTTTGCTAAAAATTCAATATTTCACTAAAATTTTAAATTTTCGCTAAAAATGTAAACTTCCACAAAAAAAATTATTATAAAATTTACTAAAAATTTAAACTTTCACCAAAAGTTAAGCGTTTCGCTAAAAATTCAAAATTTTACCAAAAATTAAATTTTTTATCAAAAATTTTAATGTTCACAAAAAATTCAAAATTTCACCGAAAATTAAAAGTTTCGCTAAAAATTCAAAATTTTCCCAAAAATTTTAATTTTTAAAGTTATAATATTTCACTGAAAGCTCTAATTTTCTCCAAAAACGTTATTCTTCTTCACCTTTAAGCGTTTCGCTAAAAATTAAAAATTTCACCAAAAATTAGATTTTTTAGCAAAAATTTTTAATTTTCACAAAAAATTCAAAATTTCACCGAAAATTAAAAGTTTCGCTAAAAATTCAAAATTTTCCCAAAAATTTTAATTTTTAAAGTTATAATATTTCACTGAAAGCTCTAATTTTCTCCAAAAACGTTATTCTTCACTTTTACTTAAAATTCACCAAAAATTTAAATTTTCACTAAAAATTTCTAAATTTAACCAAAAGTTTAAATTATTAATTTACATTTAAATTTCTCAATTTCACTAAAGGGTTCTAATATTCCCCAAAAAAAAAATTAAATTTCACCAAAAAAACAAAATTTAAAATATTCATTAAAAATTAAAGTTTTTATTAAAAATTACAAATTTCACGAAATAATCAACAAAAATTTCAATTTTTGCTTAAAATTAAAAAAAACTTGTTTTCAAATCAAAATTTTTCCAAATAAAATTTTCAGTTAAAATTAAAAAATTTACCAAAATTTCAAATTGTCAATAAAAATTCAAATTTTACTAAATTTTACATTTTATTTATAGCAAAAGAATTAAAAATCATATTAGATAGCTTCTCATAATAGCTCTTCTGTTCTGTAAACAGTTTGCTGTTCTTTTAAATTGCAAAAACATTTGAATTTCATTTTTATAATAATTCTTTTTTTTTCAAAATTTACATAAAATTTATTTGTGAAATGGTGTAGGCTTAAAACAACAACAATTTAATAATAATAATAATTTCTTTTTTTTTATAATAATAATAATAAAAATAAACACATCACTTTTCAGTATTTTCATAACGATCACGTCGTAAATTATTCACCACCAGTAGTCGAGTATTTACAAAACGTGTATCGTCGTCGTGGTATGGTATACGTTGTTGTTGCTGTTGTTTCTCTTGCTGTTGCTGCTGCTTTTCATCTACTATTGTCCATAATGAAGGTTTACGTAAATTCGCAATACGTTCATCTAAATTTAGTAATTGCAATTGTAGACAACTCATTTTTTTCGTTTTTTTTTTTTTTTTTTTGTTATTTGTAATTGACAATATACAAATTACAAAAACAATACAAATAATATTCAATTAAAAGTTTATATTAAACAAAAGCAAAATAGCAACAAACAACAATAACAACAAAACGTTTATATTATGCGTCTCAGGTGTCGTGATTAATTCATAAAAGGAATTTCTTTGATTATTTGCCAAAACATTGACTTTTTTTCAAATTTTATTTTATTCGATTTCACGTATATAACTGAATAAGGTGGGTTGACGATGATGACGTTTTATACGTATTTTGTCACTGTACTTGCAATGCGCGCACAGTTTAATTACGAGTGAAGTGTTTATTATCTAAGGTTCAGTTAATGACTAACTTAATACTGCAGAAATTTAATTTTGGAAAGCATCATATTTAATTTGCAAAACAGTAAAATATTTACATATTGTTTAATTTCCCTTTAACAGATGTTTTATATTGTCGTTTTGGCATTTTAGAGGAGCTGCCACTGTATGCGGTTAACTTGACTAAGCATATCTTTAAATTGTTTTTATCTTTCTTATCAAAATAATATCTGAAATATTTATTTTTAAAACTTTAGGCAAAATATGATTAAATGAACCATTAGGAAATAGTAGTTAAGAATTATAAAGTTTTAAAAGGGAGTGAAATATTTTATGAATGAATATTTAAAGTTTTAGAATGTAGGGAAAACTGTGAACTAGTAACAACCACACCCATTCGCTAAAAACAAATTTCCCCAGACGTGCTTGTACAACAAAGTGCAGGTGACACCACTTGTCTAGTTCTATTTAGCAAAACTTTAGTTAATATTAATCTATCAATAAGTGACAATATAAATTTTGTTATTCTATCAATATGTTTGACAGTTTCTTTGTCAATCAATCTAGAGATTGTGGTATAACAACTAGAATTATTCCAAATAACTGTCAATAAGCAGGTGTCTTCAAATTTGTTTCAAGTAAAAGAAGTACAAGGTATATTCGTCCCTTCCCAGACAAAGTTTATATTGAAATATCGTCTAACATTATAATTATTTTTATATAATTTCTCTAAACTTACCTTGTTATATCCTCAGTGCTAACAGCCCTTGGAGTGCCTGGCGGCACGGCAGCCAAAACATTTGATGAGGCATACCTAGATGCTGGTTGTTCTATAATTTGATATTTTGTTTTTGTTTTTTTGTTTGTTTGCACCAAATCAAAATAAAGCGTATAATATAGAAAAAAATGCCCAAACAACAAATATTGGTTGGGAGAGGAAATACGAAAAATACAAAATTGTTTTTATTAGTGTGATTAAAGCAGAGGTTCATTTGTTTTATATATTTTTTTTGTTAATAGTTGTAGTTGTTTTTAAGAGGTTATTTTCTTTGTTTTTTTTTTTTTTTGGTTCTAAAGCCAGTTGTTGTGGTAGTAGGACAATAATACATAGTTTTTTTTTTAATAAACATTTTTTGGAATTTGTTTGTAGACAATTTTTTTTTGTAAAAAAAATCACAGTAAAAGGAATGTAATATAAGGAAAATATATATAAAAAAATAACCAAAATTAAATAAGAAAAAAAAACACACCACTCTTGTATGCAGCAGCAGCACCAGTAGACATGCAAACACACAAATCATTACAGTAAAAACTCTTTAAGTTAAAATTTCCAAAAAAAAAAAATAAATAAATAAATAATTTAATCAAAGAACTAAATCATAGTCCATAAAACTTAAAACGTGCAAAACAATCACAAAACAAATTTTGTTGGAAAACAAGGTTTTTCTTTTCACTTTCCATAATAATGTCCTTTAAACATGCAAATTATGTGTTGTTTTTTTTTTATAATAGAAAATAAAGGTAACAAAATTGTTTTTCATATTTTTGTTTAAAACTGAGCAGTGAAATATTATTAAAATGAAAAAAAACTATACTACTGTAACAACTAAAAATGTCTGATTTGTTTTGATAATTACACATTAAATCCACAAGCATACAAAAGTGTAGCAAAATTTTTGTTAATTTTTTTTTTTAAATATTTGGAATGATTGAATAAAAGTTATGAAGTTTGGTTTGGTTCAGTTTTTTTTCTTTTCTTGCTTGAGCAATGGTGGGGGGAGTTAAAGTTTGGTTTCTTTTTTTTCGTTTTCAAATTCAACTTAAAGAAAAATTCGAAAATTATTTAGAAAAGAAATGAAATAAGTAAAAAGGAAACTCAAAACTAAAGGAAAAATCATAAGAAAAAAATAAAGTTAAAAAAATAAAAATGGAAAAAAAGCTTACGAGGCAAAGGTGACTGGGATCTAGATGTAGATGTGGGAATAATTTCAGCTACAGCTGGGGAAGATGCATGGTGCTGATTATTGCTATTATTAGTAATTGTAGCTGTTGTTGGTGGTTGCATAGCATTTGTATTGTTGTTGTTGTTGATGTTGTTGGTGGTAGTTGTGTATGGTGTGGTGGAAGATGAACGAGCAAAATCAACAACAGTTTGTCCTATAGTATTTATCGCACCTGTTGAATGCGAATTCACTTGATTGAAATGATGTCCCGATGTAGAAATAATATGACCCGATTTGCCTACAACCAATGTTACTTTATCGACAACGGATTTTAAAGTGGCAACGGCTTCTTCGTGTGTAACATTTTCCAGATTTTTATCGACCTATAAAAGGAAAATTAATTAAAAAAAATAAGTAAAAACGAACTCGAACTGAATTAGAACTGAACTAGAACTGAACTAGAACTGAACTAGAACTGAACTAGAACTGAACTAGAACTGAACTAGAACTGAACTAGAACTGAACTAGAACTGAACTAGAACTGAACTAGAACTGAACTAGAACTGAACTAGAACTGAACTAGAACTGAACTAGAACTGAACTAGAACTGAACTAGAACTGAACTAGAACTGAACTAGAACTGAACTAGAACTGAACTAGAACTGAACTAGAACTGAACTAGAACTGAACTAGAACTAGAACTGAACTAGAACTGAACTAGAACTAGAACTGAACTAGAACTGAACTAGAACTAGAACTGAACTAGAACTGAACTAGAACTGAACTAGAACTGAACTAGAACTGAACTAGAACTGAACTAGAACTGAACTAGAACTGAACTAGAACTGAACTAGAACTGAACTAGAACTGAACTAGAACTGAACTAGAACTGAACTAGAACTGAACTAGAACTGAACTAGAACTGAACTAGAACTGAACTAGAACTGAACTAGAACTGAACTAGAACTGAACTAGAACTGAACTGAACTAGAACTGAACTAGAACTGAACTAGAACTGAACTAGAACTGAACTAGAACTGAACTAGAACTGAACTAGAACTGAACTAGAACTGAACTAGAACTGAACTAGAACTGAACTGAACTAGAACTGAACTAGAACTGAACTAGAACTGAACTAGAACTGAACTAGAACTGAACTAGAACTGAACTAGAACTGAACTAGAACTGAACTAGAAACTGAACTAGAACTGAACTAGAACTGAACTAGAACTGAACTAGAACTGAACTAGAACTGAACTAGAACTGAACTAGAACTGAACTGGAACTAACTAAAAATTTCCCTATCTTTGTTCAGTTGTAGCACAATTCTACTTCAGTTCTTTTAATTTATTGAGGAGAACAAAATATTCCGTTGATTCTACTCACCCCATTAGCCTTAACAGCTATAAGCTTATCACCAATTGATAAACGACCATCGACAGCAGCAGCACCACCATCCATTATTTTGGTAACATAAATACCATTATCGCCAGGTATATGCTGATTACCAATACCGCCGGCTATAGAAAAGCCCAAACCTTTTCCACCCTTTACCAAATCAATTTCGATTACTTTAGGTCCCGCATCGCCTGACTGTATCGCAGACATCTTAGAGCTAATACCATCAACAGCGCCTGCGCCACTACCACCACCACCTCCAGTGCGTTTTCTTTTCACATGTAACTTAACAATATTGCCGGCTTTTTTTAAGGCATCCACTGCCGAGGCATGAGGTACATCGACCACAGAGACATCATTGACCGAAACAATAATATCGTTGACACTTAAACGACCATCGGCTGCAGCAGCACCGCCCGGTATTAATTTGGTAATATAGATGGAGGAATCGTTACCAACATGAGGATTGTCTGTGCCACCGGCAATGGAAAAACCTAAACCAGAATTACCACGTTCTAAAGTAATATCTTCATATTGCCAGCTTTCGTCACCATTAACCTGTAAAGTAATGGAAAAGTAAACATTAATAACTGAAGGAAACAAAATTTTATTTTATTAAGCTGTAGCTGATGGACAAAATGTTGTATTTTAATCTTGAGTATAAATTTTTAATTAATTTTATTACAATTGCTGCAATGTTTTGTTTAAAGGACAAACCACAAATGATTAACGATGCGTTTTTTTTAATGAAAACATTGACATACACATAAAAACCATTTAACCTCTTCTATTTGAATAATTTTCTTACCTTATTCGAAGAAGCCCGATGAGCCTAGAAATATTTAAAATAAAACAAAAAAATAATAACAAATTATGTAAGTTAAACATAAAAATGAGAAAAAATGCCGATTTTTAGAGTTACTTAAATTTGGAGGATTATAGTTTTAAGGTTCAAATTTAGTACCGAAAGGAAATTTGTTTAATTGAGATATTAAGGGTTCTCCTGGGGAGCAATACAAATAATATTTTTCGCATTAGTATTCAATTTTAGATGTATCTTAACAAATTTGGTAATAATTTCAATAAATTTTCTAAAAAGAGGAAGAATCTTCTTTAAACTATCGTTATAACCAGTTCCAAGTTTTCTGCTCAAGACTCTGAGGTGTATGATAACCATACCCTCTTTGCAAATTTTGAAAATCTTAAAAAAAACAAAATTTTTCACCTACATATTTGCCAATGCATTAATTGATGTGAATTTTGTATTTAGCGATAAGCAAAAAACCCGAAACTAAATACATAAATGAATAACACAACAATAATTTAAACGCCCACTTGATAATAAAAAAATAAAAAGAAAATAAAACAAAAACAATAAACAACATAAACAAAAATATCGCATAAACTATACAATGGGCACGAGTACGAAAGAGTATGTTTAGTCATACAACATTGTTGCACAGACCTTAAAAAGATCAAAAATAGTATGAGGTCAAGAAATTCTTATTTGCGTTTTTTTTTTTATATTTTCCATCTATTAATGTAACAACATACAAGTATAGAGAAACGTTAAGAACGCACACATTACAATAATGTGATAAATTAAAAAAAAAAAAAAAAGAAAAAACTACTAAGATCGCAACGTAATGTGAAAAAAGGCAAGAAGTAATATACAAAACCAAATGAAATATAAAATTATTAATATAGAAAGAACTATGAATATGCTACAATGGAATTCCCTTTGAATGACTGCTACAAAGCAAGTAGAACAGCCGAATAGAGTTGCTAAGTGGAAAAACGCATTAATATTTAAAAAAGAGGGATTTTAAATTTTAAGTGGAATCTGTTGGAAAATATGATTTAAAGAGTCAAATTGTGTTCTAAAAAGAGGAATTATTTGTTATAAAAATAGACTATTGTTTTACAATTTAAAAGTAGAAAACACTTAAGAAGGGGACAGAGTGAACTGAAAGAAAGGCAACATCAGCTGAATAGTGTAATAAAAGCCTAAAACCTAAAATATCCCAAAAAAAATTCCGTTTAATTCTGATGACAAAGAGCTTCCGTTTAGGTAAATTAAGCATAATATTAACATGAATATCATAGAGTTTTTTGCGAATATTTCGAATTATTAAAACAATGAATCAGCAATAATGTTTTATTGATTTAGGTAATTTATTTTATAGATATCGTGTAAGATATACAAGAATTCCAAGAAAAAATGATAATAAATATTAAAAAAGGTTTGTTTAGGGTCTTATTAATAATCATCCTACAACATTGACGTCCTCTCTTTAACATTTCTGTATCAATTCCTTCTTGTATAACATTTATTTTTTACTTAAGAGTCTCTTGTTTCTATTCTCCCTCTAACTTATTTTAGTCTTTTAAATTGTAAATGTACTTTTAGATAAATATCTGTTTTTCTTTTTGATTGTCTTAAATTTGTCATGTTAAGATTTTGTTTGAAATATTTACAGAAGCAAAAGAACAAGAAAACACGTGAATGTTAAATATTTGGCTTAGATCCATTAAAATTGTTGCACAGCGTCATAGTAACATTTGGTCTTTAATTGTTCTGTTTTTTTTTCTAAGATTTAACATATGAACAAAGCATTTTTGACTCGTGAACGTAAACTAAATGACATTTTATTGAAATTATGTAAAACGAAATTGATTTTTTTATCTTACGACTTTTTTGAAAAAAATTTTGAACGAATGAAAAATCTGTTGAAAGTAATGACTTTCTTCAGTTTGGTAAATAAATAACATTAGCGAATTACACTTTTAATCAATTAAAGTTTTTCTTAATAAACAGTTGGCTTTTCTAAACAGTATTCAAAGTGTTGCAAAATGCATAATTTCTAGCTCTAGCCCTATACACAAGACCAGAATTACTATAACATTAAGAAGTTTAATAAATAAACCTTTTTTATTAAAAATAACTGGAAGAAGGTATTATTTTCATGATTAGTACTAGAACACAAGCATTAGACTCATACTTCTTCTGAAAAAGCATTTTAACTGAAATCAAAACATTTGTTATTTATTTGATAGGTCCAGAATGGCTGAAAGAATGGGATATTGTTGGAGCATTTTTCTGACAAATTTTGTCCATGAAACCACTTTAGGCTTAAATCAAGATCTCAAATCCAGTTAATATTTTTTATTCTGAATAAGAATATCTGATCTTCATAGTCAATTAAAATATCAGGAACACATGCATTAATTCCACTGCTAGTTCTTAAACGAATCATATTAGAACTGAACTAGAATTGAACTAGAACTGATCTAGAACTGAACTAGAACTGAACTAGAACGGAACTAGAACTGAACTAGAACTGAACTAGAACTGAACTAGAACTGAACTAGAACTGAACTAGAACTGAACTAGAACTGAACTAGAACTGAACTAGAACTGAACTAGAACTGAACTAGAACTGACTAGAACTGAACTAGAACTGAACTAGAACTGAACTGGAACTGAACTAGAACTGAACTAGAACTGAACTAGAACTGAACTAGAACTGAACTAGAACTGAACTAGAACTGAACTAGAACTGAACTAGAACTGAAACTAGAACTGAACTAGAACTGAACTAGAACTGAACTAGAACTGAACTAGAACTGAACTAGAACTGAACTAGAACTGGAACTAGAACTGAACTAGAACTGAACTAGAACTGACTAGAACTGAACTAGAACTGAACTAGAACTGAACTAGAACTGGACTAGAACTGAAACTAGAACTGAACTAGAACTGAACTAGAACTGAACTAGAACTGAACTAGAACTGAACTAGAACTGAACTAGAACTGAACTAGAACTGAACTAGAACTGAACTAGAACGAACTAGAACTGAACTAGAACTGAACTAGAACTGAACTAGAACTGAACTAGAACTGAACTAGAACTGAACTAGAACTGAACTAGAACTGAACTAGAACTGAACTAGAACTGAACTAGAACTGAACTAGAACTGAACTAGAACTGAACTAGAACTGAACTAGAACTGAACTAGAACTGAACTAGAACTGAAACTAGAACTGAACTAGAACTGAACTAGAACTGAACTAGAACTGAACTAGAAACTGAACTAGAACTGAACTAGAACTGAACTAGAACTGAACTAGAACTGAACTAGAACTGAACTAGAACTGAACTAGAACTGAACTAGAACTGAACTAGAAAACTGAACTAGAACTGAACTAGAACTGAACTAGAACTGAACTAGAACTGAAACTAGAACTGAACTAGAACTGAACTAGAACTGAACTAGAACTGAACTAGAACTGAACTAGAACTGAACTAGAACTGAACTAGAACTGAACTAGAACTGAACTAGAACTGAACTAGAACTGAACTAGAACTGAACTAGAACTGAACTAGAACTGAACTAGAACTGAACTAGAACTGAACTAGAACTGAACTAGAACTGAACTAGAACTGAACTAGAACTGAACTAGAACTGAACTAGAACTGAACTAGAACTGAACTAGAACTGAACTAGAACTGAACTAGAACTGAACTAGAACTGAACTAGAACTGAACTAGAACTGAACTAGAACTGAACTAGAACTGAACTAGAACTGAACTAGAACTGAACTAGAACTGAACTAGAACTGAACTAGAACTAGAACTGAACTAGAACTGAACTAGAACTGAACTAGAACTGAACTAGAACTGAACTAGAACTGAACTAGAACTGAACTAGAACTGAACTAGAACTAGAACTGAACTAGAACTGAACTAGAACTGAACTAGAACTGAACTAGACTGAACTAGAACTGAACTAGAACTTAACTAGAACTGAACTAGAACTCAACTAGAACTAGATTTCGCTGTAGTGTAAATTAGTTAATTAACAAATATTTAAAGAATTTTACTTGACTTCACTGCATCATGGCAATCCTATAAAAATACGCCAAAAAAATACACAAAAAGAATGAGAGCAAATGCTCACACAAAATTTTGAAGAAAAACACAAATTTTTCATTTAATAAATGAACAAATATAACATTAACAAATAGCAGATCAAATATGATCACCCGGAATACCCCTTCTTATCCATTTCCAATAAATGGGAATTGTTGGCTAGCTAACTGACTGAATGACTGACTAGTGGGTGATGGCTTTTATGGTGGTGGTGCTATAGCTAAAATGTATTTCTTTCTTTATAAATAAATGATGTTATCATCAACAGCAGCCGATAAATTGGTCACATAAAAATAGCCTGAACAAGCCATCACCACACCAACCACATAGATGAGCAAACAATTTATTTCGATATGTACGATGCTAATTCGAGTTGGCACATCAGGAGTCAGTTAGCGAATTTTAATTTTTGCATAAATAAATGGTGTTTTTTTAATGTTTATAATAATAATTACCGAGTCCAGATTAAATAAGGAGGAGACTTTTTTGATAAAGCCTCCACCACCACCGCCACCTTCTTTGCCCTTCTTTTTACGTGTGGTCATCTCTGCTCACTTTTATCGGTTTACTTTTTTAACTAGTGTTTTTTATTATAATTACTATTTTTGTAATATTTATTATAG